GGACAGTCCAGCAATCCTCCCATCTCACCCTCCCATGTAGCTGAGACTACAGGCAGGTGGCACCATACTCAGCTAACTTTTTGTGTTTTTTATAGATATGTGGCTTTACCATGTCACCCAGGCTGGTCTCAAACTCCTGGGCTCAAGCGGTCCTCCCACCTTGGCCTCCCAGAGTGCTGGGATTACAGGTGTGAGCCACTGCACCCAGCCTGTATATTTTTCTTGAAATCCTTTTTGAATGTTTAGTCTTGTTTTCTTATTCAGAGTACACCTTGTTCATTATTTATTTATTTTTCATTTCCCCAATTTAGCCTGCTTTCCACCCAGCCCTAGCAACATAGGTTTGGGTCAGAGAAATTCAAGTGGCCAGGGGACACTAAAGATGGCCCGTTATGGTAGGCCTTGAGTTGAATTAGTCACCAAGCTAGTCTTATCTCTTTTCTAGGCCTAATTCTTGCCTTTTTTTTTTTTTTTTTTTTATTTTCTCACAGTTCTTGGATTTTTTTTTTTTTTTTTTTTGGCTCAAAACAAATTGTTTGTCTTTAGAACACAATAAAATCCAGGGAGAGTGTCCTGTTCTTCCTACAGACGTCACTGGGACATCTTATTCTTTAATTAATTCAGTCAACTGAAATTGGTCAAATACCTGCTCTCTGTGCCAGAGTTACAAACTTTGTATTTCTATAATTGCTAGTAGCTGTCTTACATTTCTTATTTTATCTATCTGGCATGTGATATGCCTAATACCTTCCATTATCACCTCATGTCCCTTTACCAGCTTGGTAGTTTTTCTATTAGTTCAGGAAATCAAACAAAATGGTGTGTGACCTGGAGGAACTAGAAAAACAAGAGCAAACCAACCCTAAAGCCAGCAGAAGAAAAGAAATAACCAAAATCAGAGCTGGAAAAAAATTGAGACGTGATAATCCATACAAAAGATCAATGAAACCAAAAGTTTGTTATTCAAAAAAAAAAAAAAAGACAAGGTTGATAGACCACTAACTAGATTAATAAAGAAAACAAGAGAGAAGATCGATCCAAATAAGCACAATCAGAAATGACAAAAATGACACTACAACTGATGCCTCTGAAATATAAAAAATCCTCAGAGACTGTTACAAATACCGCTATGCACACAAACTAGAAAACCTAGAAGAAATGGATAGATACCTGGAAACACATAAGCCCCATAAGATTGAAGCAGGAAGAAATTGAAATCTTGAACAGACCAATAATGAGTTCTGAAATTGAATCAGTAATACAAAACCCACCCCAAAAAGCCCTTGATCAGATGGATTCACAGCCAAATTATACCAGACATATAAAGAAGAACTAGTACCAATCCTACTGAAATTATTTCAAAAATTCAAGGAGGAAGGACCCCTTCCTAACCCATTCTACAAAGCCAGCATCATTCTGATACCAAAACCTGGCAGAGACACAGCAGAAAAGAAAACTTTAGGCCAATATCCCTGATAAACATTGACACAAAAATCCTCAACAAGATACTAGCAAACCAAATCCAGCAGCACATTGAAAAGTTAATTCATCACAATCAAGTAGGCTTTATTCCTGGGATGCGAGGTTGATTCACCATACACAAATCAATAAATGAAACTCATCACATAAACAGAATTAAAAACAAAAACCACAGGATAATCTCAATAGACACAGAAAAGGCTTTTAACAAAATTCAACATTCAACATCTCTTCATGTTAAAAACCCTCAACAAATTAGGCATTGAAGGAACATACCTCAAAATAGTAAGAGCCATCTATTATTCAACTATCCACGGCCAACATCATACTGACTGGGCAAAAGCTGGAAGCATTTCTCTTGAGAACTGGAACAAAACAAGGATGCCTACTCCCACCACTTATATCAACATAGTACTGGAAGTGCTAGCCAGAGAAATCAGGCAAGAAAAAGAAATAAAAGACCTCCCATTAGGAAGAGAGGAAGTCAAACTAGCTCTGTCATAGTGCAGGCAATATAATTCTGTACCCAGAAAACACTGCAGACCCTGCTAAAAGGCCCCTAGAACTGACAAAACAACTTCAGTAAAACTTCAGGATACAAAAAGCAATGTACAAAAGTCAGTAACATTTCCACACACCAATAATGTCTAAGTTGAGAGCCAAATCAAGAATGTAATTCCATTTATTCTTTTGAATAAAATACCTAGGAATACAGCTAATCAAGGAGATGAAAGATCTCTACAATGAGAATTATGAAACACGCTGAAAGAGATCAGAGGTGACACAAACAAATGGACAAATATGCTCATGGATAGGAAGAATCAATATTGTTAAAACGGCCATAGTGCCCAAAGAGATTTTTAGATTCACTGCTATTCCTAACTACCAACATCATTTTTTCACAGAATTTGAAAAAAAAAAAAAACCTATTCCAAAATTCATGTGGAACCAAAAAACCTGAATAACCAAAGCAATCTTAAGCAAAAAGAACAAAGCCAGTGGCATCACACTATGTGACTTCATACTACACTACAAGGCTATGGTGACCAACACAGCATAGTCCAGGTACAAAAATAGACACATAGACCAATAGAACAAGTTAAAGAATCAGAAATAAAGCTGCACACCTACAGCCATCTGATCTTTGACAAAGTTGACAATAACAAGCCATGAGGAAAGGTCTCCCTATTCAATAAATGGTGCTGGAGTAACTGGCTAGTCATATACAGAAGACCAAAACTGGACCCCTGCCTTTAATCATATACAAACATTAACTCAAGATGGATTAAGGACTTAAATGTAAGACCTAAAATTACAAAAACCCTAGAGAAAAAAACTAGGAAATAGTATTCTGGACATTGGCCTTGGTAAAGAATTTATGAATAAGTCCCCAAAAGCAATTGTAACAAAAACAAAAATTGACAAGTGGGACTTAATTAAACTAAAGAGCTTCTGCACACTAGAAGAAACTATCAACAGAGTAAACTGACAACCTACTGAATAGGAGAAAATATTCACAAACTGTAAATCTGAAGAATGTCTGATACCCAGAATCTATAAGGAACTTAAATAATTCAACAAGCAAAAACCAAACAACCCCATTTAAAAATGGGCAAAAGACATGAACAGATACTTCTCAAAGGAAGTCATACATGTAGCCAACAAATACATGAAAAAATGCTCAGCATCACTAATCATTAGATAAACACAAATCAATACCACAATGTGATACCAACTCACACCAGTCAGAATGACTGTTATTGAAAAGTCAAAAAATACACTGGGCATGGTAGCTTATGCTTGTAATCCCAGCATTTTGGGAGGCTGAGGCAGGAGGATTATTTGAAACCAAGAGGTTGAGACCAGCCTATGCAATGTAGCAAGACGTGTCTCACAAAACATCAAAATAAATGAAACAAACAAAAAAAACCAACAAAGAAAATTAGCTGGGTATGGTGGCGTGTACCTATATTCCCACCTACTGGAAGGCTGAGGTGGGAAGATTGCTTGAGCCTAGGAATGCAAGGCTGCAGTGAGCTATAATCACACCACTGCACTCCATCCTGGATAGCAGAACAAGACCCTCTCTCAAAAAAAAAAAAAAAAAAAGGCAAAAATTAATATGTTGGAAATTAGTTCAGTCACTATGGAATGCATTGTGAAGATTTCTGAAAGAACTTAAAACAGAACTACCATTCAACCCAGCAATCCCACTCCTGGGTCTATACCCAAAGAAAAATAAATTGTTCTGCAAAAAAGACACATGCACTTGTATGTTCATCACAGCACAATTCACAGTAGCAAAGACATGCAATCAACCTAGATGCCCATCAACAGTGGACTAGATAAAGAAAATGTGGTACATATACACCATGGAATACTACACAGCCATAACAAAGAACAAAATCATGGGTTCCTTTTTTTTTTTTTTTTTGTAGCAACGTGAATGCAGCTGGAGGCCATTATCCTAAATGAATTAACACAGGAACAGAAAACCAAATACCACATGTTCTTATTTATAAGCAGGAGCTAAACATTGGGTAAACACGGGCATAAAGATAACACGGTAGACACCGGGGACTACTAGAGAAGGGAGGATGGAAGCAGGCGTGGGTTGAAAAACTGCCTGTTGAGTACTCTGGTCACTACGTGGGTGATGTCAGCATCATTCATACATCAAGCCTAAGTGACATGCAGTTTACCCATATAATGAATTTGCACATGTATCCCTTGAACCTAAAATAAAAGTCAGAAAAAAATAAAAGATAAGATATTCCTTATCCTCAACAAAAATTAAAATGGCACGTGTTTATGCACTTGACTTTGCAGCATGCTTTCCAAAGATGTCTTTGAGTCATAAAAATGGGAGATACACATGTTGGTTTCTCTCATCATCACTTGACAACTTATATGCTTTACCTTTCTTATGATGGTCTCATTTCTTCAGTTACAGGACTAGACATTCTATTTTAAACTCTGTCCAGAGCTGCATATTATTCAACACAATTTTAACAGAGTTCATAGAGCAGAGATTGAGGATGTTTGCAAAGATAAATCATTTATTTTTATTTTTTCGTAACCATGTCCCGCCTATTTTATTCATTATTAAGAACATTGATGTGAAGATGAAATGGTTTTCTCTATTTTTATCTTCAAACGATCTCTATTTGCGGCTTCTGCACATTGCTAGACCCAGCCACTTACACTAGGGTCATAGTTTAGCTTCAGCTCGGAGCCAAATGCCCCACAGCTGAAATGACCACACCTCCAAAGTGGCATTTTCCCAGGCCATGCCTCCCTTTAATAATGAGCCAGCCGGGGGGTAAGTTTGTATCTCATTACAACAGAGCCTTGTATTAGGCCTGGTGCATAATTAAATGTGAGGAATTACAATCGCTTCCCTCTTTGAAAGCTCTCTCAGCACCATGTCTACACTTAAGCCATTACTTTTATTTTTAATCTAATGGTTTGCCTCTCTCTCTGCCTCTTTCTCTCTCCAAATTAAATATCAACCATAAAAGGAACCAAGGAAGTCCAGAAATTTGTGGCTTTAAAAAGACTGGATCTCGAAAAGATTTTCACAAGACACTTCCAAAACAGACGTTTGAGTCGGAAACCTTGGAGTGCAGTGAACCCGCTGCTCAGGTATTTCCTATCAACAAACACGGTTACCAGGTTACTGGACTCTTCTGCCCAGGGCATGCTGTCAATTTTACAAACTCGAATAAAGGATAGAGACACAGAATGTTTGAGTAGGAGGAACTTTACCATCTGAGTCAGTGATATATTTTTTTCAAATTTATTTGTAGCTACAGAAATTGGTGTTCAAATGAAAACCCAGAAACCTAATGATTAACATAGAAAAAAGTGGAAAAGTTCTAACTGGGGGACAGAGACACCTTGAGCCCATCCCTAGAACAATTCCTGCAGAGACTCTTGGTGCCCCTAAGGCAAACTACAGAGTAATGAAAAGCTCCATGCTGAGGCCAGAATACTGCATTCTCCTAGTGATTCTACCATGTGCTAACTCTCTAACTTCAGGCAGGATAATTAAACTTACTGGGCTTCAGTTTCCTCTCCTGGGAAACAAGGATGATAATACTAACTCATGAGGTTATTTGAGTATTAAATGAGTTAATATCCATAAAGAATTAGAATAATGCCAAGTACACTTAGTGCCTAGTAAATGCTGGCCACTGTTATTGTTGTTGTCATTCTTCTTTTTTTTTTTTTTT